TAAGGGAGTGGAAATGGCAGAGTGGGAAGGGTGGCAGAAACAGGTGGTTCTCACAAGAGCTAGGACTTTTGCAGACTGGAAGATTCTAAATACTATGAAGAAAATCTGATAAAATATTTAAAATCACCTTAGTACCTTACCTAATACTTGTTCTATCATAAAAATATATTTTAAAAAATCTGCAATTAGAAAGAAAAAAAATAAATGATAAAGAATAGGAAGTACTAAAGTTACTGTCAGTTCTTTAATTGAATGAATGGCATTAAACATAGAATGGAGGAACAGCATCCTAGCTGCCATTCCCAATTCTGAAGGTAGAGTAATACAATTAGGGGAATTGATAGTTGCTGACTTTGTTTGGGAGATGTAAAGTGAGAAAAGAACTTTACGGTGGGTGCACCACCTAAGGTAAAAGTTCATAAAACAATATAGTGTAAGACAGAGTGCACTTTACCATGCGAGGAGTCTCTGGGGGTGGTTTGTAAGGGAATGTAAATGGTTCTCCTGTGACAAAAGGATGTCTTGAAGCCTGCAAACAGAACTAGATTTTGTATATCCACCACTAAAAAGTAATTATAACTACATAAAAAGAATAACAATAATGATGTTTACTTAATGGTGCAAGACAATAACCTGCAAAGGTGACCACCGTTTTGCTGGATCAAATTCAACTAATCCACTCAAGAAATCAATCAGTGCTAAGCGAGTTCGATTTTCTGTAACATCATCATCATAAAAAAGCTGACAAATATTGGTAAAATGATGCTACAATATTCATCAAGTATGCACCACTGGTAATGCATTGAAAGAACAAGTCACTAACCATTCAAAATCTCCTCTTCAGGCAAGTTTCTTCTGTAAGGGTAGGTTATAACAATTTCCTCAAGCTTCATATGATTAAAATATTCTTTTCCTATTAATGGTTTTTTCTTCTCCCTCTACATAGAAAAAGCAGCAGTGAAGAAGAAAAATGCAAAAGTTAGACACTTCACAGCCACACAACCAAGAATACTGTAGTAATAATCAAGTTTGCCAAATTTAAGGCCTAATAACCAAGTACGTCAAATTTTTCATTATTCTGTCTATTAGATCTATGACTTTTATTCGCGATAAATAACACTTACAGCTTCATACTCTTCTTCAGTCAATACTTGGTATGCACTTCTGCCACCCATGGAGGTTTCATCGTTCTCAAGGTGATATACACTCCCAATACGCTTAAAGAACTTATTTGTGTTTTTTGCCTCCCTTAATACATGATCAGGTGGTTGCCCTCTACAGTTTTGAAAAAGAATACACCAAACCATCAGCAATCATGACACTGGGTGTACAACTTACTGGATGGTGGAGCATTAAAAAATGTGACTTTGTTTATGAATACTTTGCATTTTATTAGAACTAATCAATCAATACTAACTATATTAGGTACTTTAGGTTTATGGTCAACTTACCAAATTCACATATTTTAATTATTCTTTAAATTAAAAACATACTAACATAGATGTCAAGAACAGATAATTCTTGAAAAATACTACTCTAACAAAAAGAAAGTGTAAAACATAAATAAATTAGAATTGTAAAATCTACCACAAATCTACAATTAACATAAATCCATAATCCATTAGGCCTTTGATTCTGCTTTACATAATCATGTTGACTACATGTGTCTTTGTTGCTTGCCATAAAAGAAACACAAAATGTAAACTATTTTAATTTATTTATGTATCACACTTTTTCCTCATATAAATGCATTTACCATATTATGGTCTATGATACATATTACAAGAACAACATTATAAACCTCCAATAGTAAACTATAATATACAGCTAATTCTATTGGAACTATTACAATAATGGTCTATAAATCCTAAATACTGTCACCTTCACAAAAAAAAAAGAAAAGAAAACTAGACTGAACTTTAGCAGGGATCACTAGATGAGGATTGCCTTCCAAACACTGGTGTAGGACCTGATATAATGCATAAGCATTTTTCTTTTTTATTTATATATTTATAACAATAAAGTAGAATGTTTCCGTGTAGTTAGTGTACAAACTTACGGATTCGGTAGATGACTACTTTCTTTGTCAAAGAATGTGCAACAACAGGCTTTGACCATCAAACACAAAATAGGCATGCAAAATAACACAAAACTTGCACACCAAGCACAATGGTCACAATTAAACTATAAGCCTCATAGAAAAATGTTAAGAAATGCTTCATTTTCCTTTCCTTCTGTGTTATACAACTAAAATATTTCAATTATTTAAAAAGAAACTAAATGCATAGGCCAAAATAAGGGAATAAACATTTTTCCAGGACTGTTGTGCTGAAATTCATTTTATTTATTTATTAACTTAATGTTTTTAAATTGTCATTATATTCAGAAATATATTTAACCCAAAAAATTAATACCAAGAAATAAGGTTGTTTAAAATCAACTACAAACAGAATAGAGCAACAAAACATACCCCAGAATTTCTATCATTCGCCTGAGAAGATCAAATTCAGATGCCCCAGGAAACAGAGGCAGCCCTAAGAACAACTCCGCAACAATGCAGCCAAAAGACCACATATCAATAGCAGTAGTATATCTGAATCATGGGTGAAGGACCAAACAACAGGACCATGTTATAGCAGGATTGCTAGTTTTTTTTTTGCTAATTATTATTATTATTATTTTTATAATTGAAGAGGAATTTTATTAACAAAAGATGAGAACTGTTACAAGCATCCCATAGAGAGGCGCAGGCACGACCTCCCTTAAAACTGTAAAGGCCGCATAACACTAAAGGTTAAAAAAATTACAAGGTAGCACAGTACAAATGTTCCCTCAAAACCCCTTGTTTAGCAAGATAATCTGCCATAGCATTTGCCGACCTGCCAACCCACTGTAACCTAACATTGATATTTCTTAATAACCAGCCGACCTTCTTTGAGAGGTTTTTGTATCACCAAATGACTGAGTTCGAGTTTACTTTTTTTTTTTTGGCTTCATGGTGATACACAACGGGGCGTTATGGGGGTAACCCATCCCCCTCCCTTAACCCCCCTCCCCAACCCTGGTGGCAGCTGGATTTGAGCCCAGGTCTCTTCTCCGACAAGTCAGAGATCCATAGCAGGATTGCTAGTTGGATCATCAAGACAATCTTCACATGAGCAACTTGTTTTAGAGAATAAATGAAACCTCCTAGATATAGTATGTTGCCTCTCAATCCAATATAAATATAAAAACATACAAATATGCATATGGTATGTTCATGCATATATGCATATACATACATATACATGTATATATAAAGAGGACAAATCAGCTAATAACAACATTAGTGAAGACTAACTGACACCGCTCAACTTCCATGCAGAAACCTTCTTTGGAGCTCAAAGTATGCATTCTGCTCTTCATCCCTTCAGCATCTAATGAGTTTAAGCCAAAAAGTCCTAACCATGCAAGCTCTTCATAGCACATCTTAAATTAAAAAAAAAGTCTGGACTAATAAGTTGGCCAAAATTCCTAGATAAGGTGGGGAATGAGGCTGAGAAGACTGCAGGAAGATTACATGGGCAATCCCAACTGTGCTCTATCTACTCAATGCTTCAGATCGGTCACGGAATTCCTCCATGTGGCAGAAAGAGATAGGGTTGTCTACAGAACTTCCCCACTTAACCTGATTATGAAACATTTTCCATATAAAGAACATTTCTGAGCACAAACATACAGATATACATAAATAAAAATGTGAAGTTCCAATGTTTTGGAAACCCTTTAAAATCAGCAAGGAAAAGGACATGATCATAGAACCCCCCTCCCCAAAAAAGGGGGAAAAAAAGAAAGAAAAGAGAATCATAGTGCAAATGTAAACTATGATGTAAAATACCACAAGTCATGGCATTTACCCTTCAAAAAAAAGGTAATACAATATGGTATTTAGTATTTACTTAAATGGTCTACCTTTTACTTTCAATAAATGCAGAGAGACCACTAGAAAGAAGATTTACACAATTTATCCACAAGGATACTGATAACCAAGAAGAACTTCGGGAGACCTGTAGTAACGACTCTGCGTAAAAAGGGGGAAATGAAAGCATCAGACAGACGGCAGGCACTACATGATGCATATCTTCAACATGCTTGTAAATCATCCACCACATTATGATAACGATGATAATTTAATAACAGATATAAACCTGAATGTAGGAATAAACCGTGCGATCTTCCATGCATGCTGATCCAAAATCAATAATTTTGATTTCTGCTGGCTTCAAACTGTTAATACAAACTACAATTAAAGTTTAACAAAAAAGGAATATATCCTCCAAAATTTAAATCTCCAAAGCCACCAATAATAATTATATTACCTCGTACACAGAAGAATATTTTCTGGCTTCAGATCACAATGAATGATACCAGCTTCTTTCATCAGAACCAATGCATGCAAAATCTGGACAAACAAATAAACAAAAATGCACGTGGTAAGCACACTTGAGGAAGACCATATATTTGCACAACCCCTAGATTAACTGTATATCAAATCACCCCCAGTTATTTATAAGAAAAACTTTAAAACAGAATACCTGCTTTGATAGTACTTGGACAACATTCAGTGACAACCCTCTAAACTGGTTTATCTTGATGACCTCATAGCTGAATTGCCAAAACATGTTAAAAACAATATTTGAGAAAAATAGAGAAAACAAACCTGATAAAACAATCTTTGAGCAGCCATCAATGTTTTTTAACTAGAGATGTTGAGTAACCTACAGGTTTGCACCAAGCAGCTCAAAGGAAATGCATAGATGCCGTTGGTATACAAAGTAATCAAGAATCCGGACTATGTGATGCTTATCTTCAGGATCAAACTTCTTGTTTAACTGCAAAAAGCATAAATGTTTAGTTTGCATGGAAACAAGTTTCTTGATAACAACCACCACATTTACATATCTGCTAGAACTCGAGTACCGTTGTCAGAATAGAGACTTCAACCAGTGCCTGCTGGTAGTATGCTGGTTGGTTTTTTATGATCTTAACAGCAACATAACTGTTGGTTTCTGAAACCCAGCATTTGGCAACTTGTCCAAAGGTCCCATGGCCAAGAATATCCTTGACAATGTACCTGCATATGTTCAGATGAGAATAACAATTAAATATATAAGGGGCAAAATCAAACATTCAAATGCTATAAACTGCAAGGTGCCAACCAGCTGGTTGGTAAGGTCTCTTGCTGGTCGTAGCAGAGACTTGGGATTGAATCCCGCCTGCACCTGGGTTGGGGGGGGGTTATGGATTAGGGGATGGGCTACCCCCCCCCCCAGGATACCTAGGGAACTACCCTAGGATATATGTTTTTTACTTAAAAAAATCCACCGCCAAGGCGACAAGCCCTGTCACCTAGCCTCACCTTGGCACCTTGAAAAATAGTCATATCCCGGTGTTCTGCTTTAACATCGGAACCTACTACTACAGATTGCTTCTTGCTTCTCCATGATACTGAATTACTAGCAATAAATATGCAACAACCTGATGTAGAATGCTTATCATCTATAGAGCTTAAAAATCTTCAAAGGTATAAGGACCAAAAGATATGGACTTCTATCAAATTGGGTTTCTAATAAACTGATAAAGTTTTTAATAACTTGAGGCACTTCCTACCTCATATTCAACAAGTATAGCTATGTGTATCAGAAAAGGTACACCACAAACAAAATGAAACCATGATAATCCCCAATAGTAGATAAAACAATAGGACCCCTACATATCAACAAATAAAATTTTAAAAGGAAAAAGAAGCTTCTTTCGTTACTTAAAAATAATGGACCTACAGTATTTGTATTTTTTTCTAATAAATAGTCGATAATCTTACATTGCAAACTCAAAGAAATGGACTGAAATAATGAGCATGTCACAATCTTATTTGAGCAACATTCTTAGAAATGAAACTCACTGAAACTACTAAGATGACAGTATGAGACACTAGAGACTTCTGAGGAGGATAGTCCTACGGTAAATTCCATTAAGTTCAAGACCATTCCATCCTCCCCATGCTTAGGTCCTGAAAAAGACATCGATCAACAAAGAAAGTTGTACAAAAAATTTTTTTAAGGCTACTACCGACAGATAAGATATTCATTATAAATTGAAGAACAATTGAAAGCATTATTGTTAAAGTAGCAGATTGGGTGAAAACATTGGAGATATTTGAGCTATTTTTAATTGAAGATATCATTAGAAATTGAGTTGCAGTAGCAAGCTCTTCATCAAGGAAAGCAAAAATGATGAGAATTTGGAGAACACCGGATTTTTTTTTCTGTGAAGCTCAACTTTGATGGAAGCAGCATGGGGAATCTGGGACCTTCTGGGATAGAGCAGTTGTTAGAAGCAATGAAGATAATATGGTTGCTATGTCCCCAAGTCCAGTTGGAAAGGGAGATTCCATATGGGCAAAAAATCATGGCAGCAATCTAAGGGGTGTAGAAAGCAATGGAATTGATGTTGCGCGATCTGGTCGCTCCCTGCTGGAGGACAGCTCAGATGCCAGGTTGATGAGGTCATCTGGTCGAGCTGCAAGGAAACAATATCAAAGTACCCAGGTTGCTTTACCCGGGGTGGGGCACTCCGATGCTTAAGTCAGCGAAGAGTATCTGGATGCTTAGAAAGCATGAATGCAAGAGAGTTGTGAGTGCTAAATCGCACGTACCTTCTCTGATCAATGGGGTGCCTTTATATATGTGCAGGTTGTCGTGGGCTTCACGTAACGCATCCAAGATCTCCGGCCCACCTCTCTCGGAGGTAGTTTCACAATCAGAGTCGGTTTCCGCATAAAGCGATAGAGCTTATCCAGTTGTCTTCGAAGCAAGCGGGACGGGAGTTAGTTTCGTCGATGAGACGACGTGATCTCGGAGGAGTCGGAGGTGATAACCCACTCACAAAGGAGGTCGGATGCCACGTCGTGCAGGTCCCCAACTGGGTCTCAATTAGGTCGGCGGAAGCAGGTCGCCTCTTATGCCAACCTAACCCTTTCTAGGACACGTCCATAGGTCAGCCTACCGAGGTGGGGTCAACGCAGTTAAGGCAGGTGTGGTGTGTCCGAAGTGCTTCTGAAGTCATTGCCCACATGGCGCTGAGATGTTGTATGACGGTTCTAGGGTGTCACGTGTCATGATGTCATTGGAGGGCCAAATCACCCCTCATCAGGAATGTAGGTGGAAAAGTAAATCGTTAAGGATGACCAAAGGTAGTGACAAGCTAGTTGCCAAAGAAAAAGGCCTTATGGATGTATATAGAAGTGTGATGAAACAATTCAAATGGCTATCAAGAAGTACTTCAGTTGCAAGCTCAATGGGTTGAAAGGTCTCTAACTGTTTGGTTGATGTTTTAGTTAAACAAAAAGTCACTAGTAACTGCCTAACTGGGTTTTTGGGCTCAAATGTAGGATAATGACAGAGGCAGCAAGGGATGAGCTCTTATGGGTTTCTCTTATATCTTAAAGGATTGTACCTCTACTATATAATTTTGTTTATATTTTTAATATAATTTTGGTTACTGATAAAAAAATGAGGAAAATGAAGAACAAATTCAAGAGAGAAATCACCTAGTTAAATGTCCCCCTTGCCTGATATATGAGAGAAACCAAGACAAAAATGGGAAGTAAAATAGAAGAAAAACAACCAACAACCAACATTGCCTTCCAATTTTGTTAGAAGTGCCCTAACCCCTCCATATCAACTCTGCCATCACCAATCAAAAGAGGGAAAAAAACATTTGCTATCCTTGCAAAGTTTGGGCCTTTTGGGGCCATTAAAAAAACAGAAGAAAAAGTTACCCCTTCCATTGAGATAACGTTTGGGATCAAAAATGTCTGAGGTACAGTGTTTTAAAAGGTATGGGAGGCATATGCCTAAAGATGAGCCTCTAGGCGAGGTGCCCCCAAAATGCCCTAAGACGTATGCCAATGGCGTTGATGCCTCTTGGGCATATGCCTAAGGTGCTAGAGGTGAATGCTTCATATGCCTTTTGCATGAGGTGTGCTAGAGTCATACACCTCGTGCATACCCCATACAAAAAGACAAAAAGAAAGAAAAGAAAAGAAAGGAAAGGAAAAGAAAGGGGAAGGAAAGGCTTATGCCTCTTATGTTCTGAACTACATCTCACGCCTCCAGGTAGTGGAATGCCTCGCATCATGTCTCCACGTTTTAAAACATAGATGAGGTACTAGAACTAGTAGTACAAGTATCATATTTCCATTCCCCTTCTTTCCCTCCCTAAATATTGTTTGCTTCAAATAGTGATACAACACCCAACTCCTATCACAAAGGTCCATTATTTTCTTGCAGTAATCATACAAGTCCTCATCCAGCACTTTTACCACTTGCCTATGCTTTATCAATACTAAAACAAAGTGATCTATGCTCGACGAATGAAGGATGGCCACCCTACAACTCTCCTCCCCCTTGTACTAAACTACTAATGAATAAACCAATGGAAGACTTAGCATATAAGAGCCAAGATTATGCTGCCTTATGAAATTTTATTCTGGATTAAGACTTGCCGATAAGTCATACCACACATTTTCTCAACCAACTTATATGGGCTAACATCATCAAAGTCCTCCCACTCAACCACATCACAATGATCAATATCTTCTGACAGTACCTGATAGGGGCAAAATAAATTAACACTGGCTTCTCCAACTATGTATATTTCTCACTTCCCTATACAATTGGTACACCCTGGCACTGTTCTGTACTAATGAATAGGCTTCAGCTCCCTATCCTGAATTTCTTTTGTTGATAAAAGAAGCACACAATTCCAGGTAATATCTAGCTTCATGGAAGTGGAACTAACAAGCTATAAAATTACCATTAGATTACCTAGCTCCTACTTAAAAGATGCACAATCCTCCATTTCAGGCTTATTTTTCTTTCCTATGAGATATCCCAATTTTCCATATCCTCCAATACAAAACTTTGCAAATTGAGACCATTTTAGGTAGATGTTTCCATCAAGATCATAATAGTTAATTCGAATATTAGGACTGTCACTGATCAGATAGAAGTTGAACTAGATTTTCAAGAGGCTTTCATGTCCTGAATAGAGAACATCTATAAATTTGCTGTATTAATGCAGTCACAGAAGTTCTCTACACTTGTCTACCCCAGAAAGGGAGCAATGAAATAACAAGAAAACAATTCCCTAACAATCACACTAGCAGACTAGAAATCAGGCTATATGGAAACATGATACACATGATCAGGGAAGACCAAAACAGGTCATACTTTACATACACAACAGCAGGTAGTAAATACAATGCAGAATTTTCAACACCAAGCTCTCAAAACTCAATGAAACCTCATCATATCAATCAAACTAATCTGTATCAGTCCCAATTGCAGAAACCCCTCTGAACTAAAACTTTGATCCAGAAAGCTCAGGCTTGATTTTTTTTCTGATTTTCTCATAAAAGTTCCACAAAAATCATATACTTAATACAATTCAAGCTCTAGCAGAACCTAACATTCACTCTTCAAGCAGTCACACTTGCTGATGTCATCTGAACAGACTAGTGACATCAACAAGGCTCCATGGGAGTAGCCGAGTAGCAATCAACATAAGCAAACCGACGGTTGCTCTGTTACCAGGTTGCAGTAAAGAAATAAAGAGTAAGTGGAGTCAAAAAGTGAACATCAAACACACTCCCCTTCATGTACTTATAATAAACAATGTAAAACCAATCCTCAACAGCTTCTTCATCTTGAATGGATGTTAGTTTTGGTTTTTAAAGAATTTAAAGAAATGCAAAGAATTATTAGAAGGAAAAGGGATAAGAATGTGAGACACCAAAAGAACATTTCTTTTTTTGATATATAATCACAATTATTTAATAATATTTTTTTTGATAAATGAGAGTAGTTTTATTAATTCAAATAACGAAAATACAATCAGCCTAGGAATAGGCACAAGATGTTACCTCCCCGAGGACAGAACCATATACACTAAACATGCCCAAGCCTGAAACTCAATGACAAAGTAGCCCAAAACAGATCTCCCCTTGACACCCCTTGCTTGGCCAGAGAATCAGCCATTGTTGCTTTGTTGTTTGCTTTTAGGAAAGGGATT